AGGACATGATGCCATTTAGGTAATTGTTGATCGGCTCACCAGTTCTTCTCATTTTTTGGTCATCAAGATGATCGACCCCTTCGACAAGTTAACAAAAATATATATCCGATAGATAGTCAGGTTACATGGAGTGACAGTAATAGTAGTTCTGAAATTTCACTCTATTTTATTATATACGCTTAGCGAAAAGAATGTTTTTTGATACACCTAGGACATGGATTCTATATGAACCAATGGATCGTAACAAGTCGTTACTACTAGCAATGACTTCCTCTTTCATTACTTCATCTTTTCTATATCCCTCTCCTTTGTTCTCAGTTACTCATCAAATGGCACTCAGTTCATATCTTTAAGTTCGATCATTGAGAAAAAATGGTCTGATTCTAATAATGGAAAAGGTGGGGCTTTAGCCTTTTCTACTATCAGAATCGGAATGTAGCCTTGAAGGGCGAGGCCACCCCTCTCGGGGTGGGGAAGGGATAGTGGGTATGCGGGCTCCCTCACTTTTCAGTTTAGTGATCATAGTGACAGTAGTATCCGACAGGGACTCCAGGTTCACTTCTCGGTTCTGGTCTAGTTTTCAGCAAGCTATGGGAACGAAACTGTCTCTTGGTACCGCATTCCACTCTCAGACCGATGGCAATCAGAAAAGACGATCTGCATACTGGAGGATATGCTCCTATTTTGTATTCTTGATTTTGGGGGGCCATTGGGATGATCATTTATCTTTAATTGAGTTCGCCTATAATAACAGTTACCACGTAAGTATCGACATGGCTCCGTACGAGGCATTATATAACTGCTCATGCAGATCACTGATCTGTTAGGAAGTGGTAGGTGATAGAAATTTGTTCGGCCCCAGATCTTGTGGAGGAGACTACAATAAAAATAGTTAAGATCAGGAAGAACATCCAGACAGCTCAGAGTAGGCAGAAGAGTTATATGGACACCCGGAGGAGGGATTTGGAATTTAAGAAAGGTGATCGAGTATTCATCAAGGTCACCCATTTAAAGAGAATCAGTAGGTTTGGTAAGAAAGAGAAACTAAATCCCCCAGTTTATTAGGCCATTTGGGATCTTAGACAGAATTGGTACCACCGCTTACAGACTCGCACTACTTCTAGAACTATTCAGAGTTCATAATATGTTGCATGTTTTCATACTATGCAAGTACAATTCGGACTCCTCTCATATTTTAGCCCACGAGTCCCTTTCACTCCATGAGAATTTATCCTATGAGGAGGTACCAGTGAGCACTGTAGATCGAAAGAGCAGAGTACTCCGTAATCGAAAAATTCTCTTCCTTAAGGTCCTATGGCAGAATCACACACAGAGAGAGGCCACATGGGAGATAAAATCAGATTTTAGAGCCCAGAATCCCCAACTGTTTGATTAAGTGAGAGGGAGATAAATTTGAGGGACCAAATTTCTTTCAAAGGAGAGAGAGTTGTAATACTTGGTCCCGAAATTTAGTTCGGGATTAATTTTAACATTCTAAAATGTATAAAAAAATTTATTTTTAAAATTATTTTATTTTAATTTAATGTGCAATTATGGAAAAAATAGGTTATGGATGAAATGAAAAATAAGTTTGAGAAAAAGAGGTAAAAAGTTGGGTTCGGGAGGTGTTTTTGAAAAAAAGATAAAAAACTGAGGGTTAGAGTGCAAATAAAAAATTTGGCCACGTAGAATTGCCTAGTCAGCAACCTCAATAAATCGGAATGAGGCGCATGGCAAGGCATGCTGACTCAGTACCACGCGAGAGGCCACGCTGGCGATCTGTATGCCCCGTGATTGGACGGCCCAGGAGCAATCACGCGTGCATGGACGGTCCGGATCCGTTTCACTCTTAGGCGCGATCGGATGGTCGAGATCAAATACAATGAACAACCCAAATTCATTTTCTCCTTAGGCGTGATCGAACGATCGAGATCAAACTCGATGAACGATCCAGATTAATGCGAGATGGGTGTAAATATTTTGCATCACACTGAACCCGAATCTTAGCCGCCAACCTCCCATCAGAGAAAAAGAACCAGTCGTCGGAAAAAGGAGCCGACTGTCGACCGCCGCCACACTGGAACCACCTCTGACTGCTAAAAAAGGTAAAAATTATCTTACCTGCTCGAAATTTAATTTCAAGCACCCCTATGTCCATATCAGAACAAAACAAATGGCGGATGAGCCAGAGACTGTGGGCAAAGTCCGACGGAATCGTCGCAGGCAAAAACCTGCAACCTCCTTCGATGAGTCCTTTTCCGTTTCCTATTTCGTGCGATTTTTTCATTGTTATGTTCATTATTCTTTTTTCTAGAGGTTGACCGAAGAAAAAATTCTAGCCACGAAGGTGAATTGGCGGAGCTGCCGCACTCAGAAAACTCCACCACTTGTAGGTTTCCGTTTTTTTAACTTTTTGGGCTAATCGAGGTTCCCTAACGTATTTTTTCGCAGGGATATGTATAAAGTTGGCGAAAACCGGCCAAAACTGACCGAAAATTATCAAGCTAAGGCAAACCGTTGCTGTAGGCAATGGTACTGTTGCCAAAGCACAACGGTGATGTCGTGTCGGAATCCTGAAATTGGCTGAAAAGAATTTTTAACATCAATTTTAGATTTTTGAGGTATTTTTAGGTATGTGAAGCGTATTTTAATCTTCACAAAAAAATTCAGAAAACCTGGGGACCACCAGTAGGCATAGTAGAAAGTTCGATATTTCAGACGCCGATTCAAGTAAGAATCCGTTACCCTATTACCTGTTTTGGAATTGAAGCTTAATAATTAATAATATGATATTTGTGAATTTTAAAAAACTTTAAGAATAATTACAGGTCACTAATGGAGCCAGAACCAGTTAGTTATTTATTTGTCATGTTTAACTAATTATTTAATTTTACAGCTTTAAATACATGATAATATATTAGAATGGTTAAATAATTTAGTTGTACTTCTTTGATGCATATATCGGTTGTCTTGCATGATTTACGGTTGATTTGTGAAATTGAAATTAATATGCAAATAAAAAATTACTTGGTTATGTAAATTAATAAATGATTATCTTACTGGATATTCTGGGAGATGGTGAATGGATTGGGTAGATAAGGAACCCTACTATGAATGCTATCTCATACCGGATGGGGTACCGATGGATGATATTTTTGGCGCTCATACTGGACGGGGTGTGGGGACGACCTGATTTACCATCATACCGGACAGGATATCGAGAAATGCTATTTTTGGCGCTCATACCGGATGGGATATATGAACGGCCGATTAGTTGACAAGTTTAGATATTAGGTTCACGCGTAGTGAGACATCTATATGGACCACCAGGGATACAATAAGCAAAATAAAAATAAAAAGTTGTTATTCTTACTCACTTGAATATAAGATCATAATGTTATTTGAGTTATTGTTTATATCGGTTGATTTTGAAAATCTCGCAACGGTCAATATGCAAAAAATAGTTTTCCTTATGATAAATGAATTTACTTAAATTAAGAGCTTAATTGGTTCTTTTTATGATTTTTACGAACTTTTAGTTTCTGTATCGTTGAGTAATGTGATATTCTTATTGGGTTAGTATAGCTCACCCCCTCCCCTCTTAACCATATTAGATAAAAAATATCAAAATTCAGACCCTGATAAGCAGGAAGGCTGTGAGTAGGTATCCCCCCCCAGATTCTATCAAGAGTTAGTAGAGATTTACCTTTTCTACAATATTTATTTACTATTTTTATATGTTGTTAAATTTTTTTTTTATGGATCGCTGTGAAATGAATATTTCTGTGACCTTATTGGGCATGATAATTTATGTGTAAGGAATGTAAACTCGAACGTTATTATACGCTTCCGTATTTAATTTATGACTTTGTTTCCTTTTAAATTCTAGATCTTTAAAAAAATTATTAATAATCAAAGAAAAAGAAAATTTATGCATTGTTAGTCCAATCATAGTTGATATTAATAAAACTATAAATTAAAATTTTTGATTAATTTATAAATTACAAAAAAAAATTATAGATAAATTATAAGAAAGTTTTAGATTTTGGCTCTAATTATAATTAAATTAATAATTGAATTCTTATATTTTCATATTCAAATTAGTCTAATAAATTAATCCTAAATATTGACAATTATAAATAATCTTTTAAATTGAAAAATGATAAAATTTTATGAAAAATAAAACACAAAAAAAATGAAAAGAAATTTAAGCAAAATGGAGGTAATGTTTGATTAGTCAAGTTCCTAATATTTCAAACTATCTCAATTTTTTTTTGGGGGTTAAAATTCCTCAATGGTTTCCAAATTTTATATTTTTCTCTTATAAATGAGTTTTATTTATAAGTTTCCTTCAACATATTAATAGTAATTTTAGTATTATTACTACATTAAAAAAATGAAAGAAGTTGTAATATTGAACTTTAATGTTTTTAAAATAATTGGATAAATTATTAAATCATTTCTTTAAATTTAGGTATCATTGAAATTTAATATTTGTTGGGTTAAGAGTTGATTCTTAATGTTTTCATTTTTTTTAAATATTTAATTTCATTTCATTTTTAAATTTAAATAATTAACTTATATTTACATATTTTAAAAAATAATAACATTAACTAGTTAAATAAATAAATGAATAAATAAAAAATAAATGTAATGCTATTATTAATTTATTAATTAATTAAAGTAATTCTTTTAATATGTCAAGATATTATATAATTATTTTAATTTTTATGTTAAAAAATAGATTTTTTAAAATAAATAAAAATATCAGAAACTATATTGTAAAAAATATTAAAATTAAAAAATTAAAGTGGTATGTAAAAAAATATCATAATTAGTAAATTTTTTTTAACAATTATGATATTATTTACCCAAATTCAAAAAAACAAATTAAACTATAAACACTTAGAAGTTATTTAAATATAAAATTATAAAAAAATTAAATTAATCTGGTAATTTCAAACAAGTTCTTACCCATCAAATTGTCATATGCTGGAACAAGTTCAGTGATAACATTGTCTGCCCATTAACCCTAACTTACAATCGTTCTCCCGCGCGCCGCAGCAACTCGTTTGTCTCTTCTTCTCGGCTCTCCTTCCTCTCTTGGGTACACCTGATGAGTAACTCGGCGACGGCAGCTCCTCCTCAACCGTCGAAGGTGAGCCAGCAAACAGTGGAAAAAGCCATTAACGCACTCCTCAAATGGAGAGATTCAAAATCCAAGACTCAAAAGCCTCAACTCCTAGAGCAAGACGATTTCATCTATCTAATAGTTACCCTTAAGAAAATCCCTCAGAAAGGTCGCACTAATCCCCATAAAATCCTCCTCCCTCATCCCTTTATCAATCCCATTGAAGACGCGCCCGAGTTCTGCCTCATCATCGATGATCGCTCCAAGTCTCGGGTTTCAAAAGATGTCGCCACTAAGAAAATCAAAGCCGAAAATATACCGATAAGCAAAGTCCTCAAGCTTTCGAAGTTAATGACTGATTATCGTCCCTTCGAAGCTAAAAGGAAGCTTTGCGACTCTTATGATGTTTTCTTTGCAGACAAGGGAGTGATTCCGCTTTTGCCTAGGTTATTGGGGAAGCAATTTTTCAAGAAGAAGAAGATTCCTTTGCCTGTCGATTTGAAGCATAAGAACTGGAAGGAGCAGATTGACAGGGCTTGCTCGTCTTGTCTCTTGTACTTGAGGACTGGTACTTGCTCAGTAGTCAAGGTAGGGAAGGTCTCTATGGGAGCCAAGGACGTAATGGAAAATGTCATGGCAGCCATCAATGGGATTGCGGAGATTGTGCCCAGCAAATGGGGTAATATCCGATCTTTTCATTTGAAGCTGCTTGAGAGCCTCGCCTTGCCGATTTATCAGACTGTGCCTGATTTGAGGCTGAAGATTGAGGTTCCTACTAAAGAGGAAAGCAAACAAGGGGAAACTGCTAAAGAGACCTTGAAGGATGATGATAAGATGGATGACAGTTTATCCAACAAGATGCTAAAGAAGAAAGGGAGGATACACGAGATTCGATATATGGATAGTAATATATCTGAGATACCCGATGAAGATGAATTCGGGGATGAAGGTGAAGCTACTGAAAATGATGCAATGGATAGTGCTGAAACCAAGGCTAAGAGGAGGAAGGGAGATAAAGTGAAAAATGCGAAACCGTTGAAGAAGATGGCTAAAGTGAAGAAAGGGGATGAAGATGGACTGGAGCAAAAGAAGAAAGTTGAAAGGGGAAGCGATTCTGGTGGGAAGGAGAAAAAGAAGAAGGTAAGTAAGAACTTGATTGGCAACACGAGAAGTAAGAAGAGGCTGGCAACAGAATAGTTTCTTATACTTTGCTAGGTTGCTGAAACTTATGGGAGAGGGTTTTAAGAGTGACTTCACCGCTTGTTGGGCATTTGATTTATCAAATACGTTTCGTTTGTCCTATAGCGGATTTTGTTATCTGGTTTTGATTTAGGTTGTGGTTATTGCAATCTATGTTTTGATCCATTTTACTATTTCTTGAAGTATGTTAAAATTATTAGCTAATGGCATTGCAGAATATATGATATTGTTTGCAATTAGACGCTACTTTCAGCATTAAGCTTTGATGCTTCCCCCTAAATTTTATGTTAACTGTTTAGGTTTAGACGCTACTTTCAGCATTAAGCTTTGATGCTTCCCCCTTAATTTTATGTTAACTGTTTAGGTTCATAGACTGAACAACAGAAACAGAGCTTTAAATTCTCAAACTTTGTATCTGGTTCAAAATTTTGGTCAGGTCCATATACTCTTCCAAAGGAATAAAGAAAGTGACATTGGTTCCTTTTATGGTTTTCTGCCGGCAGTAGTACTATTCCTACACACTTTTAGTAGTAGTATGTAATATGGTGGTTGTCAAACTTCTCTGATAGAAGTCTTTTCATTTGTTCCTTTGTATAGTTGATCAATCTCTCTGCAGTCTGTTATTTACTCTAGCACATTATTCTCAGTTTCCTCTCCTCTGAAACATATAAATTCAAATAGGGAAAGTTTGGCGCTTTCTCTGTGATTTGATAGAGCTGATGGAAAATCCAAAGGAAAAAACTGAAGAGATTAGTACAATATATGCTTTATCTTCCTGTCAGTTTAAGAGGATTATGACTTCTACATGTTGGAAATAAGCCTTTGTTTGTCATTTTTTTATGACAATTCTCCATCCAACCAAACACTGGAAAAAATTATAACTAAAGCGAACTCTTAAAAATATTTTTTCATGACTATTTTTTTCCCCTCCATTTTCTTTCTTTGGTTAGCACTGTACTCGTAACTCTTATCATAGACTTAAGAGCTTATGCCCTTTTTTCCCTTAAGAACCCCATTTCTAGAAATAAATGCCTATGTTGAACCAGGATTTCTGTAAACTAAATTTGGTTAATTTTGAAATCCCTTTCCTTTCTGGGGCTAGACGCATCTCATAGTCTTGTGAGTGTGGCTTCTCATTGATTTGAGCGGATATAGCAATCCACCCTGAAGCATATGGTTCTTTTTTTATAGTTGACCTTTAACTTGTTTATTGCCCTTGCTTGGTTATAACCAACAGAATGTCACATTCTTGTTTAAAGTTTGCCAAACATTTTGTTTGGTTCCATACAGGGAGTTGTTGGTTCATGAATATATAAGTTGTTGCACGTATGGATACCCTTTCTTGGCATTAGTTAGATTGAATCCCGAGTCTTTGCACACATCACAGAAGACTTTGCTAGGTTAGCTCACACAAGATGCTACTAGTTGTATGTTTACTGAAGAAGCTATGTGCAGATGAAGATATAAATCACCCAGCATGTTTACCTTGGTGTAAATGAAAGAACTAACTAAAATCTCAACTGTAGCCTATGAGATGAGTTCTTGCAAGATCCGGCTCCTATGTTTATACTGGCATGGTCAGATCCACAACGCCCAACCATGGCTTTCTGCAATCTGTTCTAATCTCGTATTATACACTATGAGTGGGGATACAGGAAATTGGATATAAATTGGCTAACAAAGGTTCCCATTGCATCATTGCAAATCCATTAGAAATCTATGGAGAGAGAAAGAGAGAGTGGGAGCTTTTATTTTTTGGCTGAAGAGAACTGCTAATTAGAGATCAAGAATTAAGAATTAGAATAAGGCTAATTGCAAATTTTCTTTTGGGTTGGTCATATTCAAATAAATTTATGTGACAATTTTAGTACTTGTTTGATTTTTTGCTACTTTACAAAATCATTAGTTTCCTAGAATTTTATATAATAAATTGTTAATTTTCTTTTAATTATAATTGGTTTAACTTTAGACTTTCATGTGTATGTTTCTATAAGTCTAGGTATGTTAAATGTATTCTAGAAAACTAACAATATTATATAAAATGAATAATTTGTCAAACTATATGTTAAATTATAAAAAAATATCACAAAACTAAATTTGAATATATGAAATAGAATTGTAATTTATTCAAAATAATTGTGGGAATCAATGGAGATAGAGACAAACCCTGGGAAGGCAGATTGGAAACCACAATGCAAACACATCAATATGTACCCATGAATTTATTGGGATATGATACTCAATTTTTTCCTTTGTATACATAAGGGGTTGTTTTGTGTTTCTGAGTTTTGAATACCGGTTAATTATTTATATACTAATTCACTCGTTACACGAAAGAGTAGCAAGACAGTATGATAGAAAACATGTACAATTGATTGCTCTATTACTATATTAAATTGCACAAATAACGCCATTGAAGGAAATATGTTGATTAATTGAATGCAATTCAGTCAATGTGGGTATTTTGCTTGATGGGACGAAGTTTGAAGTGGAGAAGAATTATAGAAATACTCTACTTTTGTTCTTGAAAGCATTAATCTTATTTTAGATTTATATTCTTAAATAGGTTGGTAGTTTAGTACTATTTTAATTGTATTTCTAATAGTTCTGATTAATATTCCAGATTGGTTATGATTTGCTTTCATGTTAAGATTTGTATTAGTTAGTCCAGCATTAGATTGTATTTTATGTAATCATTATTGTGATACGTTTTGTTTAAGAACATTGTAAATATGTATGTAAGCCTTATGGATTGTAGATTAGACTATCAATGTAAAGAATAATTTTTTTCTTTCTCAATGGATGCCAAGAGTTTGTATCTTCTTGATGGATTCTAGTAAATTCCTAGTGGATTCTATGTTATTTGTCTAACTTTGAAGGTATAAGTGCTCCTTCATAAGCTTGATTGAACAAGACCAAACGAATTTATCTGTGTTTCTGTTGTGCATCAAAGTTAATTCCATCAGAGAAATAGAGGAATGCTTGTCTTTTAAGCTTGTTCAAGGTGAGTTTGCTGGGTTTTTCTTTAACTGGGAAATGGGGTGGTATATTTGTGTTTCGTTTTGTTTAAATGGTTCTTGATGGGTTTGACAGGCGAAGTGGTGACTAAACTAGGATGATGGAATTACAACCATGAAAAGTAAGGGAATGTGCAGTGTTTGCATTGAGTCCCAATTTTGCTTATGGTGCTTAAGGTGATAATAGAGTGTCTTCCGATTCCTTATTTGGTTCGAAGTTGAACTTGTCTCTTAGGTAAATGTGGTGGATACGTAAAGATGGTGAAATGACCAAGAATTATGTAGAAGGGAGGTAGGAGGGAGCAGCCTGTTGATCTGGATGAAGTTCTTGGTAGACCTCTTTTGTTTGCTTAATTATTGTTTCTTTTCTGTTCAGCATCTAAAGTTGGCTCCACTACCATTAATGTTTTCACGGCAGCATAGGTAAAAATTTTCCACGCCTTTTGCAGTTTGGTATGAAGTGAGGCTTGATAGTGGCACTCTTGTTGCAAATATGTCAGGGGTCGAGGAACTGAGTTCTAAGTAAAGGGTGGTATATACTGTGGCATGATCAATTTCTTATGATACTTACATGGGTTTTCATTTCTTAGCATTTAGGAATTATATATCTTGTCAGTTTCTCCATGTCCCACTGCTGCTTTAAATGACTATCACCTCTCTCTTATCTTTCTTTCAATTCTGCCAATTATTGGCACCAAAGAATTATTGATTTCACTGATTTTGTCATGTTGTTGGTTCGTGATACTGTTAATAGGTTAGAAAGACCACGTATGTTTTCTATATGATGTTTATTTCGTAAGAACTATTTGTGACTCCATAGAGACAAATGAATTGCAAGAACTTGTATATGTGATCAGTTTACTTCAAATTCTAAAATATTTTGACAAAGATTTGAAATGAATGAATCACAAGTAACGAGTCTTACAATTCATCTGTGCAAGTGGAGACCGGAGAACTTAGAGAGTGTTTGGATTTGTTTATTAGGTTCAAAGCCCCATATATATATATATATATATATATTTTACAATAAATATATTTATTCAAACATGTAACAGTTTATTTTTCTAAATCAGCACTTTAGATGCATTAAACTACTTACAGCAGCTAGTGCTTAAACATTCTCAAACATGGCAATCTTAATGTACATTAATACTTTTCTTTCTAAAATTACCCTAATAGAGGAATACATATATATATATATATATATACACACACACACATCTTTGAAATGATTTTTGGTAGTCAGGATATAATTTGGTAAAGTTGAAGATGATTCTATATTTGAAAAAGACAAGAGCGGTCAACCAAGTCCTACTCATGGTCCAATAATTCTAATGCATTGATTAGAGATTAGTGCTGTGACCTTTCGTCATCCGGACACGATAAGCATCTCAACAAGTGAGAATTATTTAATCCACAGCATCTTTTTTTTAATTAAATTTTTACTTAAAGATTAATTGCATTTAATTTTTTTAAATAATTAATAGTATAAATTCCTACATTTAATGATAACAGTAAAAGTATAAAATTATTCGTTTATGTTAAAATTTTATTTTTGCATTTATAATTCTTTTGATGCCATTATACTCTATAAAAAATTTATTTTAATTATTTTTCGTTAAATTTCAGACTTGGTTATATTTTCCTAATCAATGGAAACGCGTAACTGGAGAGGGGGAGACAATGGCGTGGTTACTCCTTTTTCTGCTCTTTCACGGCTGCTCCTGTCTTGTTTTCTCTCATCCCACCCTCCAGTTTCTTCCCGGCTTCACTGGACCTCTGCCTTTTCAACTCGAAACGGGGTCAGTACAGTTGACACACACACACGCGCGCGCACATACACACACAGCTTACCGTCTTAAGAATAGATCTGCAAATGTAAAAGCAATTACAAAATATACATACATACATACATACACACGCAGTTTATGATTTTAAGAATTTATCTGCAAATTTAAAACCAATTACGACCTATATCTATATATATGTATATATATGCATATGATGTGTTGTTGTTGTCAGTTATGTAGGCGTGGATGAGAATGAGATTGTGCAGCTGTTCTACTACTTCATCAAGTCCGAGAGAAATTTCAGGGAAGATCCCCTCATGCTTTGGTTAACGGGTGGCCCCGGCTGCTCCGCCATTTCTTCTCTCGCTTTCGAGATTGGTAACTCAAATTCCTCCTTAAATTTTTCTTTTTAACTGTGAATCAGCAGTGAGTTTTTCGGTGTTTAAATTTTAAATTAGGGTTATAACTTCACCTCATCAATCTTATTTGGTTTTACTGCAGTTCAAAATTTTGTTAATTACATGATCAGTAATTATCTAATTTATTAGTAATTTTACTTTATTTATTAATTAAATGTTTTAGGTCCGTTGAGTTTCAAGGCGGTGGAGTATAATGGGAGCTTGCCTACATTGTTGTTAAATCCATATTCATGGACAAAGGTATTTACATTAATAATTCTATACATACATACATATATATATATATGTTATTCACCATAAATTGGAAGTATGAATGCTGATCATCAGGTGATAGTTTAATTAGGGTTGCTGATTCTCCACTTATAATTTGGAGGGTTGTGCTCAATTTTCAGGTGGCCAGCATCATATTTGTGGATTCACCTGTTGGCACTGGATTTTCCTACTCAAAAACCCCTCCTGCTTCTCCACCAAGTGATTTCGGACAAGTTGACAGTATCAACCAGTTTCTTAAGAAGGTTTAACTCCTATATATATATATATATTTACATATGTAATATAATTAGTAACTTGTAAATTATTGACATAATATGATTAGTTCCTTCCAAATGGGTAATGCTTTGGTTGTTCTTTTTTTTAGATTCGATACTCCGAGAGATGAACTGTGCACCCTCCTTTATCATATGATAATTGATTAAAAAAAAAAATAAGCTTACCTGTAAAATCTATCTATAAACCCATGTAACAAAAA